ATGATGAATGGGTTACTCCTAAGAATGCTGATGTTTCTGAAGTTGAAGCAGAAGGAGAAAGTCATGTCAATGAAGAAGACAATGAAGCAAACAAACTAGTTTATAAAAGAAAGAAACAAAGTGAGATTGGAGCTTCAAAAAAATTTAAAGGTATTCTTAAATATAATGAATTATTTTGTATGTTACTATTGTTTCATTTTAGAGCTAATGAAATATTAACTGATATAGGAGATAAAGGAAAAAATATTATAGATGAAGAAGAGTTGGAGGATGACTTTGACATTAATTATAAAGATTCTTCTGAAGACAATCAAAGTGATGATGAGTCTGCTTTGGGTCTTGATCCTAAGGGGATGTTTTATTTTTAAGTAAGTTTATTTTAAATCTTGTATTCCAGTAATATTATCTTAAAACAAATCTTCAAATTCATAGTTGACATAATATTTTGTTATTTTTTGTCATTTTTTAAAATTTTAAATTAATTTATTTTAATCGTTTTGAGACTTACGCCTCGATCCGCCTCGAGGCTTACGCCTCGCCTCGCTTAGAAAAAACGCCTCGATTCCCGATTTCGCCTTTTAAAACCTTGATTAAAACCTTGCTCATTATTGTCTAAATTCCAATTATATTGCAAGCTGACTCTACTCTTGCTGCCATCTTTACATTGTAGTAATTTCAATTTAAACTAAATTAAAAAAAAATTAAACACCTACATTTGTTTTACGTTCATCCAAACAACTCTAAATATTTCAACTATATTGCATTCCTTTTACACTGTATTATAGTTTACTTTACTCGTTTTTCAATAAATGATATTGCCTCATAGTAAATTAATTTTGTCATTATTTAGACAATGCAGTTGTTTTTGACATATAAAAGCATGATTTTTTTGTTATTCTAGTATTTTGTCATGATTTTTTTTAATATAATTTTGTCATGATTTTTTTTATTATTCTAGACATAAAAAGACTTGGTTAGAAAAAATTGAAATGATTTTTTTTTTATTAAATTTTAAACGAGAATTTGACTTTTAATAGGACAATGGAGAAAAAAAATTCATGTAGTGGGACAAAGGCTTGATGTTTTTTTTTTTTTTTTTTTTTGTTGCTAGTATTTTGAAGATGACTTGAAATTTGAAAAGCATTAGTTAGTTCTCTTCTTTTATCTTTCAATTTTTACAATTTCTCTGACTATTCAGACATACCTTCGGAAGTTTGCTAGTTATTATGTAAAGCTAGGCATATTTTTTCTATCCACCAAGTCAGCTAAGTTGGATATGTTGTGATCTTTCTCTTGCTAATGTTAGTTTAGATAGGAATCATCGCCATACTCATTTTAACTTCTCATTAAATTTGAAGTCTTCATTAATAATCTTAATTTCTTGCATATATTTACTAATATG